TATAATAAAAAAATGGACACATTAAAAAAATCATGAAAGATGAGAAAACTAAAAATAAAAAAAAAAAGAAAAAGAAAAAAGGAGAATCGAATCGAAACCCGATCCTTTGAATAGTTAAGAAGATTCCCAAATAATAGGCTATCAATCATTTACTCTAAATCAAAACTTACCAACCAAATATAAAGATTGGAAGCATTCCATTCCCTAATTCTAAAACCCATCAATCAAACACTCTCTTTTCGTATCCTTATATCCAACTCCGAACAAGGCCGCATCCAATAGTTTAACACTTTCAATCCGGCCGGTAAGATTTTGGGCCTAAGCCTGAACTCTCATCAGACGACATAATATGCTTTTAAATTTTAATTTTAAGATAAATCTTGGCGTTGACAATATTATTGCCCGTGAGCTTGTGATCGCTATAAATTTATGAAGCAATAAATTAAAAAGTAAGATAAATAGGTATGGGAATGATTATAGTTGTTTTTTCTTCTCTTTTATAAAGATGGCGAAGTTCCTTTTATGTACCCCCACGCACCCCAACAAAAAGGCAATGTTGGCGTCAATCTTAAACCATGAAATGGTTGTATGATCACTACTGTATTAAGAGGGTTTTCCTTGATATATATGAATAATGATATATACAGGAAAGATTTCACAAGAAAAAATATATGAGAAGTATTGATTATATCCGTTCCATTTTTCAACTTTGTATTAGATTGTGAAATTAAAGATAAGTCACACGCTTTGAATGACGAAGCAGCTAAGCTGAAGAAACAAACAAAAGGAATCGGGTGAATCATATATCGTAGGCTCATAGCTATATGCCGTAAAAAGTGATTGAGACATCAAGTAAATTGGGGGCATAAGCTTTTTTATTAACTCGAGTTTCTAAACGAGTCTTCGCCTAAAAGGATTTGGTACGTAGGTACCTCAATTTGTTAAATTGTTATTACGTGGTCCTCAAACTATATTTTATTAGAATCACAGCACCAAAGAAAAATACGAAAATCCTATATATATACATATATATATATATGTCTGGCAATGTTTAGAGAAAATTATTTTCAGAAAACCATGTTTCGTTCCCCCCCCCCCCAATACATTTTGAAACCAGCTAAACTATTATATCCGCACTTTGCAATTGACACATGGAAAAGAAAAGATAAATGTGTGAATTTCAAACGAAGTACACCTAGTATTAAAATGAATAATTGTGAGACTCAACTCACATGGAATATCATCACATAGAGTAACTAAATTTTCCTCAGTGTATATGTTGTCTCTTTGTCAATCATGGATTTGATTTAGAAAAAAAAAAAAAAGAAATAAGTTAAAGGATCAATGAAAAATAGTTTTACAAGTAGAGGGACCGTTGCATGCCGGAAGCAAATACAGATCCAATTGCTACTAAATCATCAAATTATACATGATGAAATCAAGGTCAAGTGTCTTCATCAAAGAGCCCACGTTCAATTACCACTAGCTGTCTGGTGGCTTAACGCCCCTGCGCCTGGTCTTTCAGAGCAAGCCTTGGTCAATATCATATAAATTCTGGGAAAATTCCTGTAGGTTTTTTTTTTTTTTTCTTTTTGAGCCATAATGCAACCGCAAATAACATTTGCAATGAGAGAAAGGGACCCCTGAGCTTTTAATTATGTGAAACCATCCAATCTTCCCAACCCCCCTTATCTTTTCAACAAAGCCTCGCAGGTCGTATTTCTTTGTTTCGGTTGCCGCGCAAAGTCGCTTTTTTTTGTTTTGGTCTCAAAGTCGTCGTCTTCAAGGAATAAAAGATGAGATTGCGGTGGGCATTTTTTGAAAAAATAAGGTTCCCTCACACCTGGAGAGTACCCAATTTCCATCCTACAAATATATCAAAGATACACACATGTAGGCCGCAGGGTCCGAAACAAGGAAAATCAACCTTTAACTTACAATAAAACCCAAACTCAGTAGGACTAACTACGGGTACTCCTTTATTTCCTATTTCTCAAATTCTTTTACCAGAAGTCAACACAAAAAAAAAAAAAAAAACCCTTTCCTACAATGAATCCCTCTTCTCCGACGTCGGCACCGCTTCTTTACCGGTGACAAATTCAACCTCCGCCGGTGAAAAACATATTCTTTTTTTAGAGCCTATCGAGCGCTGGTGGGTTTGGCGTGCTGTTGTCGGGGGGACCCCCAAAAATTAATCTGAATTCCAAACAGACTAAAATTAAATTGTAGAAACAGTGAAATCAGGTCGAATCCCAAGAGCGCCGACTGTTGACACTTGGCTTTGTAAAAGTAACAAAATGGGGGTATTTTTTTCTTTCTTCAAAATAAAATTGACAAAATTTAAAGTAAATAAACTTAAGAAAAAATTAATAGAATGGAAACCTTGGTTCAAGGAATATTTTTCAAATATATTACAGATCATCGACTAAAAATGATTTTTCTACAACTCAAGCATTCAACCGTAGGTTTAATAGGATAACCGTAAAAAATCTTGTATTTTCCAAAAATATTTGACCGAGCCCAACACCTAATCAAAACTTATCATAATTTAACTGGGCACGATAACGTTCCATATTAAATTATGATAGCAATAAAATCTTTGAAAATGTAGTTGAACCAAAAAAAACTAAAATAATTGAGATAACTGCAATTAAAAGATTTTTGTCCTATTGAACCCTAGTTAGACTAATCATGCACATTCAACGTGTCACTACCAATATGCATAATCTGGTAATGTGCTACTTAGTGCCAAATGTTTAAGACGATAACGCAACATAAAAAATTTGGTAGCAGTAGGAAGAAAATACTTGATTAAATTGTCAGATTAATCAAGTATCTACTCTCATAAAAATAAATCAAAATCAATAAGTACTTGAATCAAAAGTAGAAAAAATAAAATGAAACTTGTAGTCTCACATATAATGTAAAAGAATAAAAATCCTTGAACCAAATAAAGAAAACTAGCCACTCATGGTGACTAGAAACATCTTTAAAGGTGTAAAAAAATTAAAACAAAAAGCTAAATGAAAATGGTGGCAAAAATGGAGAAAGTAGTAGCAGCCAAAAAATGCAAGCTAGGGGGGTGTGCTTTTATCAATTGAGGAGACCACTATTTATAGTGCATAATGGCTGGAAAAAAAAAATCACAAAGAAATGGGAGTAAAATCAAAATCAAATCTCATCCTAGTTTTCCACTAAATCAGTATTTTTTTGTATGATTCTCTACAACCGAATATGAGATCAAGATTTGAATAGTTGACTTGGTAAAAAGAATCTTCTAGGAACCCATTTGTGTGTATTCTTTGCAGCTGGAATTTTCTTCATCTTTTAACTCCGTAAAACTTTGTAAAAGGGCCGTAAAAATCCAAAATAGTCCATCTTTTCACTTTTTGGTACCTAACAACAAAATCCATTAATAATCACTAAAATATAACCAATTTAGGACTAAAAGATTATAATAAAATGAATTTTATTATAATTATCAAGCGCCCTAATTTTTTCATTTAAGCGTCCTAAAAAATTATATTTTAACCATTTTACCCTTATTATTATTAATTTTTCTTTAGTAGGACAAGGGGCAAGGAATATTTGCGCCAGCCTTTCACTGCTGGCGCAAGAGAAAGGAAGGGTGGCGCACAATTTTCTCGCCTCCCAATTAAGGGAGGCGAGAAGAAATTTTACTCCCAAAATGGGGGTGGCCCCTCGGTTTGGCGAGCAATTGCTCGCCAAACCAAAATTAATTTTTAAAAAATTATTTAGTTAATTTTTTAATTTATTTATTTTTTTAAATTTATTTATTTAATTAATAAAAGATAATTATAATGGATTATCTTCCAACTTAATACAAAGAAATTATCTCCTAACTTATTTAAACTAAATTTAGTTTTTCTTTGACTAAAAAATAGTAATAAATGAATGAGTGATGTGTCTTCATTTAATCAATTAATAAAGAAGTTACTTACTATAGCTTAGTTGCTCAAAATGACAAAATAACTAAGTTCTCATTGTCTATAGTTTTTCATAAGTTTTAGTTGTTATTAAATGATAATTTTTTAATTTAAGCTTAAAAAATTATACATAATCAAATGATAAATTTATTACGTAATTAAGCAACATTCTCTCAATATTTATGTTAAAAAATTATTTATTTAACCGCCAAACAAATAAATAAATATACTTAAATAAATAAATGAATTAAATAAATTAAAGAATTAATTATTCTTTCATTCTCTCTCTTTAAAAATCATTTTTTTTTTTTGGCAATCGGTCCAATTCCCGTCTTCAATTTCAGTTTTTGCGTCATTAATCGGTGACCTGATGCGGAGCCAGAGCTGTCAATTGTCTCCGAGTTCTAGAGTTTTTGGGAGGATCGATATTTGGTTGTTTCCATGGAGAAAAAAAAAAAACCCAGCCCTTTTGATGTTTTGAAGGTATTGACTGTTTTATTTTTGGTTAAACCATCACTAGGTATTAGACTGGAGAACATACAAATATAGACATTACAATAGAAGCGAGTTAAAATATACTAATTTTTTTTTATATAGATTTTCATTATAGTTTTTAAAATAATGAATTTTTTTTAACATAATCCCGTTGGCAGGTTGGACAATCAAGCCATTAATTTTTCTAATTGTTGAAAATGAAAGGGAGGAGCAAGAAAGAGAGAAGCTGGGGAAGAGAGAAGGTTGAAGGCTTGAAGCCGGCTTGAAGCCTTCAAAAAAGGGTGAAAGGGACATACCTAGGGGAAGGTGTCTATTGCCTTGGGGCTTGTGGTGGTGGCTCCTTGACGATATCACCCTTAAGAATTCAGATGGTATATGGGCGTATAGCCAACTGAGTGAACTGACGATATCGCCATTTTGGTGTTTTTTACTCCAGTCGTCGCTTTCAGAAAATTGGTAAGTGGAGGCAGGAGGATGATGATATATATACTCTATTTAATTTTTTATTTTAACTTGACTTTTTCCTCAGCGTCGGAGATTGAAACCGAATTGGATGTTTACATTGAGTAGATCTCACCATCAAATCGTATATAAAGCCCTTCTACTTCCCAACTTAATGTGAACATCATATATAGAGTAGTAATCTCACCATCAAATCGTATATAAAGCCCTTCTACTTCCCAACTTAATCGTACTTCGTAACCTCCAAATTAACCAATTATGCAGCCTGCTACCCCTAATCACACCATCCATAACAATCATTACTTCCTTTATCAGAATTTCAGTGTCAATGTTCTCCATTTCAACAACATCCCGCAATCTCATCACCAGCCCGAGTGTAACCAGATGAATCAGCTGACCTATCGTCAGGCCATTTACGCGTTCATTCTCACAGTCTCGCTTAACTTGGTCCAGATTAAGTATCAATCCCTAGCTGAATCCCCTTTTGAAACACACCCAAAAACCATGTTTTTGGCCGTTGCCAGTTTGCTACTCTACTATTGCTTGTCACAACAACCCAATCTAAACACAATCCCTCTTTACGCTATTTCGGCGGCATACTGGGATTACTTTAGTAGGCTCGGACTGGGATTTTGTGGACCATTATCTTTGGCATCTGTTACATCTCTCCTTTTGCCTGAATCTCTTTGCCCACTTGTATTTTCCCTTGCACTTTTGTTTGCCTTGTCCCAGCTGATACCCCATTTTCTTGTTGAAACAATATGGGATATGCTGATAAAAACAGCCATTTATATAGTGCACAAGTTCTGGGGTCAACGACCACCTGATCAAGTTCTAGGAAGAACAGGGAGAGGAATCCATGTCCAACTGCCCAATTGGCTTCCACAGCAAGTAGAAATTGAAATACATCCTCACTAGCTAGTTGGTTTATGGGCTTCAAAATAAACCTTAAATCTTTCCCCTTTCCCTGGATGTCGTTCATGTTTCCATAGTCCGCGGCTTTATACTCCTCAACGTGTTCATCTTACCATGTATTATTGTCTCATATTAGGCTTTACGTGTACTTTATCTTAATCATGCACGAGCTGAATACTTTTGTGTCAGCAGTAATCAGTATCAACTATGATACCGAAATCCGTAATTCCTTGGTTCCAGCATGTGTTAACACTTTTCCAAACGAAAAAGAGAAGTTCACAACAGGGGAGTATTAAATTTAAATTTTCTTTTCCTTTTTTTGGGCTTCATTCCACAAAAAGGATCCAAAATACAAAAGAGTATTAGATGTTGCTTTGTATATTTACAAATTAAAATATATACAGAGATATCAACATAGGCAGGCAGCTAGGCCGAGTAGACATGGATGTCTAACGTAAAACCTCCAACATCTGATCCAACTAAGCTGCGACTCTCCTCTGCCACCACCTCCTCACCTAAAAGTTTCTGAGGAGTATGATACCGAAACCACAAGCAAGAAAGTTTTGCCAGAGCCGTCTTACCAGTCACTCTCACTCTGTAAATCAAACTGAAGTCTGTCCAGATCTCATTTCTGATAATGCCAGTCTCCTCGTTTCCCTCGTACCCGTCAAGATCAGCGTTGGTAATTATCACAACTGAACCATCGTCAAAAGCCACAAGATCTTGGCCAGTAAACAGCTTAGGACTTCTAAAGATCGGGCTCATTGGGGAACTTGAGAAGCAGGTCTTCTTCGCCTGCAGATTGTAGAAACCCTCAACAGCCTGCATAACACACAATACAGTCAACCAAACTAGTAAAAGCAGATCAATAACTCAATCCTATACCGGAATCAAATCACCAAACCTTCAACTGTGAGGCGGCTAGGAGAACTCTTGGCCGTATGGACTTCACATAAGCATATGCAATATCTGGCTTCATTTGCTTATACTTCACCTGTAATGCAACAGAGAAAGCACAACAATGAATTGCCCTGATTCTAACAGTATATGTATTTGAGATACTCAAATTAAGCTTCCACTCTTACCAGATAACATATAACTATGGTTGTGCTGCGACCACGACCAGCCTTACAATGAACATATGTACTACGTCCGCAAGATGCATTTTCTACACGAAATAAAACACAATGAAACAGCAAAGAGGAAAGGTTAGACAAGGTCGTATATAAGAAAGTAAAACAGAAAGTCCCCACCAAAGTTATGGTAACAGAATTAAATAACACCTCGGGCTCAATCACTTCCCGTCCCAAACAATAACTGGAGGTTTGGTAAAGGTAACACGTCAAAAAGGTAGAAAAAAGTGAACACAAATGAAGGTAGAAAAGATGAAGGTAGAAAAAAGTGAACACAAAAAAGATGAAGGTAGAAAAAGTGAACACAAAAAAGAAATCCTATTTAAAGCATTATCTACATTAAATGACACCCATCTATGTTACGTTTTGTTGGCAAAACAATTTTCATACATATGACATTGTACCCAAAGAAAAACAGGAAGAAAGAGGGGGAAAAAGGATTATTATAAAGCACATGGAAACTCCATTAATCCAATCATGGAACCAATTTACAACCAATGTACGTATAAACTAACTTACACCCTAGTTGATGACATTAGAAGACATTTTCAACATTCAAAGATACTCGTTTGCATACAAAATGCTGTAGGAGAAAACCCTTACCGTGAATGAAGTCGACAGCTTGGCAAATGTCATCCAAAGATGGTGCAAACAGGTAATCTCTTGTTGGAAGAACCAAATTACGAATCCCGTGAGCCTGCACGTTTTAAAAGAAAAAACTAATGAAGCTGCAGTGGATTCCACATTTATATTATTTTCCTCATTCCTAGTTGGGGCAGTTAAATACAGAGGCTACAAGCAATATCAATCCATAAACATATGCAACTGATCAGTCAAATATAACCTGCTGCATTCATTCAATAAACTCTAGAAGCAATTGGTAGAATGGAGCAGAGCAGCATCAAGAGAATTTCAGTGAGCAAATCAAGAGTAATCCAACGCAAAATATTGTTCCCAGCAGTTACAACATAAGAAGTAATACCCGTTCAACTCAGAAAGAAAAGAAAAAGAAACATTTCTTGTGCTCAGTAACATAATCAGAGAGTTTAGACAAGAAACAGGCATCAAACTAAGGTGTTGCTAGTATAAGATGTAAAGCCTAACAAATATCCAGTATCACTCATGAAAGATATCAGAAACATAGACATTCAACTAATCCATCCAGGATAGGACTATTAAGTATGTAATGGAAACGGTTTTACAAAAATTGCTCTTTCCGGTGGAAGAAACCAATTTGCTTAATGAAAGACGAGATACTGTAGACATGCTGGAAATCCAGAAACAACATACCTCGTAAAAAGATGTGGGGACTAAAGTTTCATATGGCTCGTTAAGTGTGACAACTGCTCCAACACCAAGATCCTTCAACCGCCGGACATCCGACCTGAACGGTACTGCACCTAACAAGACAAACTAAAATAACAAGGTTTTAGCAGCAGACCAGACAAATGCAAGAGTAGAAAACAATAACAAAAAGAGATAATCATTCAATCTGTGTGAAACAGTGATCATAAGGTGCTCAAATCAAGTGACAACATGACAAACGACAATCTCGAGCATTGAAGTAAATAATGATAAACACGTGTAGGATTCAATGTAACCTCAAACAATCAAGGATAAGATACTCAGACCATCAATAAACCAAAAAGTACTACTGTAAACAGATAACAATCAAAGCAACATTACCATACTAATATTTAAGCTCTCCTTCCTAAGCATGTATCATGAAATACATATGTTCAAATCATACAAAAATTATGCTCAACTACATAAATAACAAGTATAAACTAAAAACATAATTTGAATGGAGAATCACTAACAGCATGACCGAAAAAAAAAAAGAAGAATAGAAGATAGCAAAAGGAAGAATCGGATAAAATACCTCATCAATCCAGTCCCACCAACGGAATTCGGTCTGAATTTTGTTCCTGAACACATTATAGACCAAAGTCGGATAAAACAGAGCTCTGGCACCCACTCCCACTAGAACCCTCTTCGAATTCCTCCCTAAATAACCGCCTACTCCACGGCCAACGCCAGTTTTCACCAAATCCCGATCGCTAACAGCTAATTCCTCCTCCTCCTCCTCCTCCTCCTCCTTCACCTTTACCTTCAATCCCAAACCCTTCACCTCCCTAATTTCTTTTACCTTCAATCCCAACCCCTTCTCCTCGCTAATTTCTTCTATAAGCATATTCACACAATATATAAACAACAATACAATCCAAGATTTCAGAAGAAAAGAAAATCCAAAACACCAGAATCACATCGGGGAGAAGAAAATTCAATCGAATTCACAATATCAGGAAATTAAAACAAAATCCGATTCCATACACGCGACTGCACTCCATAAATTCCGATTCAAGTCTAATCAAAAGGAAAGACCCAAAATTTTCTTTTCTGCTGGGGCTGGGAATTTTTTCCACCGAGGTGAGAACGTGCAAGGAGGATTGCGAATTGGGTGACGTGAGATCGGCAAAAGAAATAAATAAATATATATGAACAAGTCTTTCTGACGCTTGGCTTCACTCTTGTCGATGAATTTACTTTTACACCCATTTCTGTTGGGATCTCTTTTTAATATTTTTGGTGCCTTATGTTTTGTGTCTTGTCTTTTCTGGTCCTATTCTCGTATTTTTGACATCATATATAAGAATGAGATTAATAAACTTAACAAATAAGTAAAACTGAACAAAAATTTATTTTACTTTTTGATAGAACAAATCCTAAATGATTTAGACTACATTTTGTGGTGAGAGATACAAATAACATTATGTTTTAACCATGAACATATACTCAATATACCAAGTAATCAACTCTAAAATTTGCAAATTTTATACGATGGCTTCAATCATATATAATTTTACGAAACGTCAAACTAGTTGTGTGAAATTTCCACAATTAAAATAAATTGTCGATGATTAAATTATTAATCATTATCAAAAGTAAATCTCGTCATGAATATTAGGAACTAAAAATACCCTTTTAGTATTTTCTTTTTGGTATATCACCTTTCTCTTTTGGTGTCCAATAATGATAATGATGGCTAAGTGCGTTTGTTGTTTTTACTTGACATCTTTATTCTAAATACTAGAATAGTAGTGGTTTCCCCAATAAATCAGATCATTTTTGGCTTAAGCAAGAGTAGATAAAATTTCCTTTTACACAAAGTAAATAAGGAGGGGGAAAAAATTGAAAATGTTATAGTGGACTTTACTGTCAACGCTTACCAGTCTAGAAAGCAATTTTCTCCGCTACACAATACAACAGTTTGCAAATCTCTTCTTCTTACATTAAAAGACAATATTTGTATTAATTTTTAATTTACATCTTATAAATAAGAACGGAAGAAAAAAGTTGTAAATGTAGAAAAGAGGAAAAAAAAAAACCCCAAAAAAGAAAATGGAAAAGAATAGGCACCACAAAGGGCCCAATAGAAGAGAGACTAGTAAAAACAGAAAGGGTAGAGGATCACTTCACAATTTAGCGTTTACTAGTTGAGATTGGCAAGACTTTTATGGTTTTATGAAGGAATCAGTGCCTTTCTTGCTCGACCAAATGAGTCATTACCTTAAAACTAATACTATAAGCTGGCTTTAATTGGCTTACACAAGGTTGTTAATTGAGATTGAGAACGACAATCATTTACTTTTTTCTTCTTTTTTTTCTCTCTCTTTTCTTTTTGTAGTGTATATAGGAAGTTAATCACACATACAACCTTGACTACTTCTAACAACACCCCGATGATAGGCGATTCTGAAAAATTATCGTGCCTTAGGCAAGATATCTGAAGATGCCTGAAATTGTATCCTCGGCTCGGCTGAGGAACTTTGACTAGGGTTTCCTATAAAAAGAGCTTCGGGGATCTCCCGAGGGTAGACACTCCGATACTTAAGTCAGTCAATAGGGTTATCGAAGCAACGTGTGTATATTGATTGGTAATTAAGATCGCGTACCCCAATTGTGATGTCCTTGTCCCTATTTATAGCCATAGGAATACCCTCAGGGAACCCGAATCCTCCTAGGGTTTAGTCGTGCTGCCGCCCCGTTGGAATCGGTCGGGCCTTCTGGTTGGTAAATAGGCCGGTCCAATATCAGGAGTGGATATGGACTCATCAAGTCTCCATGTCAAGTATTAGTTATATGAAATAAACAAGACTTGACAAAATGTAAATCTGACCTGGACTCAACCCAAGTTGATTGCCCACTCAACAGCCCAAAGTGTTTTAAGCAGGCTTGTTGATACAACTTGCGGGTCTTAACCCGATCCAGGATCATAACCCGCTTCAAAATCCCGCCCGAATCCTGGCAGACGTGCCCCATTACTTGGCACGATTTCCAAACCACGGCCGAAACACAAAAGTCTCTTTTTTTAAAAGACATTCTCTTCCCAAAGCTCATAACAGAGTTCTCTATCTTTCCTGCCCCTTCCACATATCGCTCTCTGCCGTCCAGCAGCAAAGCCTTATTTCGTCCCTGGCGCATCGAATTCTGCTGTCAAGGACAAAAATTCTTCATCCTCGCCGGAAACTCTTGCAACAGCTATTACCAGGAAAGCATTATCTCAGTGTCGTACGTCAAACTCCGACAGAAGTAAGTCTTCCAATCCTCTTGAATTTTTGATACCTACATATGCCTTTCGCTTTGTCTGAATCTTGTTAGATTTGCATATATTGGGGTAAATATGGCCGCTCAAACAGTATCTGGGTTTGCATCAACCATAAATTCCGAAACAAAGGCTAAAGAAATTGCCAAGCAATATAACTTTTCCGTAGATCTAGAATATCGAGCACCGTTGGATTACTAACGGGCTGACACTCCACCAGAGGGAAAAATTACTGTATATACTAGATTCATGTTTCTAGGGTTAAGATTCCCCCTCTACCCTCTGTTTGGTAAGATAGTACAACACTATAAGATTCCACTTGCTCGATTCACCCTAAATTTAGTCACAACGGTCCTCGGTTTTGCGAGACTTTGTGAATTGCAGAACATCACACCTCGATTAATAGTGTGGAGGTATTTCTTTAAAGTCTGCGTTCCTTCGACTAAGTACAAAGAGTGGTATAATGTAAAAACCAACATAATGTCGAAAGCAGACCACATAGTAGAACTCTTCGATGGTGCCCCGATATGGAAGCCAAACTACTTATTTGTGCAAGCACCAAAAGAGTTTTGCGTGGCGTGGGATTACCTTGAAACCCATGAACTAGGTGTTATAGCAAATACATGGACTAGTTCTGACAAACAGAAAATCGAGAAGTACAGAACTGATATTAATGCTCTGGAATCTTTCGAGACCATCCTCAGCTACACCAAAGTGCAACAATACATTCCTCCTATCTGCGTCAAGGAGAAAAAAGGTACTAACTCATCATGTGCATTTTCTTTGTTTTAGGTCATGTCATCGAGCAAAGATAACGTTGGCTTATTTGGTGACGCCCAGATTTTTGAAATTAAAACTTCAGATGACGAGGGATCATCAAACAAAGTTACCAAGAAGAGGAAGCTAAGAAGACTTGTAAAGGCGTCTGACGCAGACGCAAAGTCCAAGAAGAAGAAGCCACACCCCGTCGTGGAGAAAGAAAAGCTAACCGAGGAAGAAGTCCTGGTTGAGAAGGAGGGAAAAATCAACGACGAAGCTGATCCCTTTGAAAACCGCCCCTTTTACCGGTAAGGAAACAGACGGGAACCCAATTCCCGAGGTAATCCCCGTTACAGAGCGGCATCCGGAATGGTTTAAACCGATCGAGGCCTCACTGGAGAAGAAGAACACTGTCGAAGACACTGATGGGTCATCGACGTACACTGCTGCAGCCGCCATATATCATTTTGGGGACACTATCATTGAGGATGTTGCAGTGACCTTGACGGAAGAGGAATCGTTGAAAATGGTAAGATCTATCAATCTTTAAATTCATTTATTCTTGAGTTCCTGCGATACTTTTGTTGAGATGTATCATGTATTCTTTATAGTTGACCACCTCGATGGCTAGCATTCTTATGCGAGAAAAGAAATTGAAACAAGAGATTGCTAGTTTGCGACTTGAAAAGGGGCTCCTCGAGCAAGAGAAGTTAACCCATGAGGAGTCGATAAAGGAGGAGCAGGCCATGAGGTTTGCCAAGGAGAAGGAGATAGCCACGGTTCAGGCCATGTACAGGGAGGTTGAGACCAAGCTGACAGAATATAGAGAGTCCCACGTTCCCAAATCAGATCTGCGGGAATGGATGACTGCCTTTTGGGCTAGAATAGTGCCAACTGGTGCATTGGCAAGCATCCTGATGGGCATTAGTAACAATGCCAAGGCGTTGGGTGGACATGGTGTAGCTGTGGCAGCTCTCGAGAGGATGGAAAGCGGAAGGACTATCAATGCTGGATGGCTTCAGCAATTCATAAAGCTGCATCCTAAGGAGACTCTCCATGAAGCCATAAAGAATGGACTGCAGCAACTCTTTGATGGTCAACTTCCACTGTTCAGGCCATTACGCAGTGCCGTTGCCCAGATGGGTTCATCAACAGAGATCGCTTCTTTTGAAGGAGATGCCCCTACAGTGCTTCCTGTTGATCTTGGAGAAGAGGTACATGTGCCGAAGCTGGCCTCAGATTTTATCGGTGTTGAGGTGGTATGGGAAGAAGATTCCTCGAAGCAAGTCGAGGAAGACGAGAAGAATGACCAGGAGCCTGAAAAGGAAGGGACGTCAATGCACACCCCTGTTAACGAGACAAACGAAAGTCAGTCAAGTCGCCCTCCCAACCAAAATGACATATAAACTCTCTTCTTATAATAGGAATTTTGCCACTAAGATTGTAGACCTTAGCATGTTGTAGTGATTCTTTAACAATTTTTGCCAACTATGAATTAGATCAGTGCCTCCTTTCTCAAACATTTGATATACCTCTGCCCATTATGCCAGAATTCATACTTCGTTCAACTAGTACGTCTATTGATTCTCGAGGAAGACGAGATCGCGAGGTTTTCCATGTATACGATGATTTTCTCACTCGAGAAAGAACTTACGGATGCTGTCAATGCACTTAACCTACGGGCACACTCCCGCTTGGTGCAGCGCTTTAGAAAACAAAAGGAAGAATGTTAGCGTCGACTCCACCAATATGACTTGGACTTTCATGATTCATTGTCTCTAGAAGCCAATATTAGTGAGGAGATGGAGAAGCTGAAGAAAGAAAATGCTCGGCTGAGGAAGCGCGAGAATATTGTTGTGTCCCCATGGTTCCTCGAAAAATTTGACACGCTTGCTTTAGTTGAGGCACAGATAAAAGTTTGTATAGAACGCTTTATTCCTGCAATTGACCTTCTAAAGAAGAGGACCAAAGAGGTAGAGTTCAACTTGAAGCAGGCTGCCATTCTACAGAACATACTGGTGGACCACGAGATTTCATTACCCATTCTCGAGGATCTCGACCCAGATGATGAAGCAAAAGAAAAGGTAGCCGCCGAGGAGTATCTTCTTAGAATCAATGAACAAGATTGGGAGATCCTAGATTTAAAAGATAAACTAAGCCCATGCCTCCATAGGCTCAGGGTGATGGGATGTTCTGGCGTTTTTAAGCCTTCCCGATTCAACCTTAAGGGGACATATCTCAAGATTTAAGTATATATCAAGGGTATGTTGATACATTTTCCTAACCCCGCAGTAAATGTGAGGGCATTGTATTTGCACTGAGCTGTATCAGCGTCAATTATTTGTTTGTACTCGAGTATGTTTGTATAGGGCTTGTTTGGCCGAATGTAAAGTACACGGCACTATCGAGGAATCGGATACGGATCCCTCGATTTAGCAACACCGCGATCTATGGTAAGTGTGAGGAGAGATCCTAGGCTTAAGTGTCTGGATGTTGAATACATGGCTCAATTCGAGAATGACCCTAAAGAGGGTGTCCATCTCAATGACTAGTCATAAAATAGTGTCGACACATGCAATGTATAGAAGAAATATATATTGACTTTTATTAATAATTACCGGAGGACCCGGGTTAGCATTACATACAAATAAATGAAAGCAACAAATCACTCAACAAATAAAGTAGCAAATAACGTGTAGGAAATCTAAACATAGAACCTGCGTAGATTCTGAATGTTCCACCATCGGGGGAGAATGGTTCCCGTGTCATCTGTCATCTACAACCGGTAACTGCCGATGGAGAGACCTGAATGACTCGATAGGGCCCTTCCCAATTGGCTGCCAATTTTTTAGGGGTTTCTGCTCGACTGGCTTCATTCTTTCTAAGTACTAAGTCCCCAATCACGAAGTCAGTGCTCTTGACTCGTTTATTATAGTTTTTCCTAAGGATCTCTTTGTACTTGGCTTCCCGTACTTTTACGGCATCTCTCCGTTCCTCGAGCAGGTCAAGGTTAGTCAGGATATCTTCATTGTTGGGGTCTTCGACGAAATTGATCGTTCAAGGACTTGCAAGGCCAATTTCGACTGGGAGGAAAGCATCCATTCCATAGACTAAACTGTATGGCGTTTTGTCTGTCGAGGAGTGAGCTGTGGTGCGATATGCCCATAAAACGTGAGAAAGGTCATCGACCCATGCTCCTTTGGCTTTGTGCAGCCTTGTCTTAATTCTATGTAGAATGGTTCTGTTGATTGACTTAGCTTGGCCATTTGCTTACGGATGGGCAATAGCAGAGAATTGACGCTCGATCTGCATCTCTGCACACCATGACTTGAAGGGATCGCTCTCGATTTGGGTCCCATTGTTTGATACAATTACCTTGGGCACTCCGAACCAGCAAACTACATTTTGCCAGTAAAAAATTCAACACTTTCCTTCCTGATATTAAGACCAATGGTTTTGTTTCCCCCTACTTGGTGAAATAATCGACGGCTACGATAACCCATTGCAGCCCTCCCGCCCCTTTTGGAAAAGGGCCAATGATGGCGGTACCCCACTGGTAGAATGGCCAAGGACTTTGTATGGTTACCATCTCATGCTGTGTCTGTCGGGTAATCGATGAAAACCTTTGGCATCTGTCGCATTTTTGCACAAACTGATAAGCATCCTTAAAAACTGTGGGCCAGAAGTATCCTACCTGCTGCAAGGACCTTTTTGGCCAAACTTCTTGCTCCCATGTAGGCTCCACACGATCCCCCGTGGACTTCCTCTAGAACATACGCTGCTTACTTTGGTCTAACACACCGTAACATTGGCAGCAAATACCCGTGCTTGTAGAGGATTCCATCTCTCAGAGTATACTTAACTGCTTTCAGCTTTAACGCTCGAGCTTCCGACTTGTTATCGGGGAGCATTCCACTTTTGAGGAATTGGATGAATGGCGTCATCCACGTATCTTTATCCTCGGTGATAGCAAGGGAAATTTTAGGCTGAATGCTGGGTTCAGGAAGTACCTCAACCCAAACCTTGTGACTGAGATTAGCGAAATTGGACGAAGCAAGCTTGCTTAGCACGTCGGCTCTTTTGTTGCTGGTTCCGAGGATGTGGGAAATAGAGCATTCCTCAAACTTGTCTTTGATCTCAAGAACCTTCTCGAGATATGGTCGGAGGTGCTCCTCGCGGACCGTGTAATCACTTTTGATTTGCTTGACAACCACCTGAGAGTCGCTAAAAACTTCCAAGTTTCGAACTCCTAACTTGAGAGCCATATTCAACCCCGTGATCATTGCTTCTTATTCAACAACATTATTGGTAACTGGGAAACCAAACCGTAGGGCGTAGGAGTATTCAGCATCGTATTCCTTGTTTTCCTTGATTTCTCGAGACGCTGTTGGTTTTTCTAGGATGATACCCGCTCCACCCTCGTCTTCACAAGAAGAGCCGTCGACATAGAGAGTCCAGGCTCGAGGATCTATCGAGGGATGTTCCTGTACCTGTTTCCTCGGTGTCGACTCTTGCATAGTATCTGGAGCTCTGGGCATTTCAACCAAGAAATCTGCGAATGCTTCTCCCTTGATAGCTGTGCGGGGCTTGTACTCGATATGGTGTTCCCCCAGCTTGACTGCCCATTTCATCATTCTGCCTAAAGCCTCTGGCTTGAGGTGAACTTGCTGGATAGGTTGTTCGGTTAAGACCTGTATAGGGTGTGCTTGGAAGTAAGTACGCAGTCGTCGAGCAACGAGCACAAGGCTTAATATCAGCTTTTCCATGGGGGTATATCGAGATTCCGCCCCTTGCAAGACTTTGCTTACGAAGTAAACGGGGAGCTCTTTACCATCTTTTTTCTTAATGAGGACCGCAGATATAGCCGTTTCTCGAGCGGCCAAATAGATATATAGAACCTCCCCTGGCTCTGGTTTTGCCAGCATGGGGAGCTGCTTAAGATGTTCCTTTAACTCTTGAAAGGCTTTTTGACATTCCTTAGTCCATTGGAAACCTCTCCCTTTTCTTAGGGCCTTGAAGAAGGGGAGGCTTCTTTCAGTTGCTCGAGGGATTCTGTAAGTTTCTGTACTTCCTTGACGGTCTTCGGGGCCTCCATTGACAGAATTGCCTTGACCTTTGCAGGATCTACGCTTATTTTGTCTTTTGATACTTGGAATCGGAGGAATTTCCCAGAGCCCACACAGAAGGCACACTTCTTCGGGTTGAGTTTCCTGTAATTCCTCAAAGAATTGTAAAAACCTCTTTTATGTCCTCGACCACCCTATTGTCCAAATTGCTCTTGATGACCATGTCATCCACGTAGATCTCAATGTTCCTTTCGATCTGATTGTGGAAAGCTCCGTTAACCAAACGCTGGTATGTGGCTCCAACATTTTTCAATCCAAACGGCATTTTGTCGTAACAGTACACCCCAATTTCCGTGATGTGAAGTGTTTTTTTCTGTGTCTTCTCGAGCCATATGAATCTAATGGTATCCTTTGTATGCGTCGAGAAAGCTAAGGGTTTTGTATCTGGTGATGTCTTCCACCATTTGATCGGTGATAGGCAAAGGGTAGCAATCCTTGGGGCCATATTTATTTAGATTCGTGTAGTCTTGACACATGCGCCAGGAATTATCGGGTTTTCAAACAAGAACTGGGTTAGCCAGCGACGTGGGCCAAAGCACTTCTTTGAGGATATTAGCCCGAACCAGTTTGAGGGTTTCCTCATTAATTACATCGTTGCGATCGCGAGAAAAAACCATCTTCTTCTTTTTAATTGGCTTGACGTTGGGATCTACATTTAACTTGTGCTCGATGATATGTCGAGGAACTCCAGTCATATCAGATGGTGACCACGCAAAAATGTCTCGGAAGTCGAGTAGCAAGGCAATTACCTCAGCCCGCAGCGTCCCTTTGATGGATATACCAAGCTTGATGGTTTTTTCTGGCTCTCTTTCGTCTAGGATTAACTCTTCTGTCTCACTACTGAATGGAGGGCCCTGAGGTTGATCGAGGTCCATGTCTTGGGTTTCTTGCTTTCTCTCTTTATATTTAGCCGATGATACTCCTTGCTGGATCGAATAACATCCTGATGTGATGGCAGCTAGCTCCAGCTTTACTGTTTTCTTCCCGATTCTTACTGCTGTGAGAAGGTATTCTCGAGAACTGCGTTGACACCCTTGTACTATTCCTATCCTGTACTCCGTTAGAAATTTCATAACCAAGTGGTAGAATGACCAGACGGCACGGGCTTGACACATCCACAACCGTCCTAGAATCACATTAAATGGCGAGGGAGCATTGATTATGGCGAAATCTATTGTTAGATTTACCGTTCGATGATACGTCCCTACTGTGATTGGAAGCCTGACGATTCCACTTGGGATTATCGGGTGCCCAGAGAAGCCCATCAATGGTAATGTAGCCAGACGCCAGTCTGGATTTATTATGTCAATTCTATTGAAACAGTCACTGTATATGATGTCGACTGTACTGCCATTGTCGACATATACGCAGCATACCCCCACGTTTTCTATGATGGCTTCGATGACCATGGTATCGCTATGGGAGCAAACTCCAGGAACGACATCGCTGCCGGTGAAGACTATTGCCTCCGTTCCTTTAAACCGCTTGTGACTTGGCTCTTGTGGTGGAGTTTTTGTTACTTCTCGAACTGAAGCTTTCATTACTGTGGTCGATAGAATCTCGAGGGGTACCCCATAAATTGCTCCGACATTGTGTGTAATCTGCTTAGCGGGATCTGGAGGAGGAACCTGCTGGATTGGCTGTGGTCTGTTGTCGAGAGTTTGCTGGACAGGTTGCTGTGAGTTATCTCTCGACTGCCAATTATTCCCTCGGATATCCTTGTGGGAACCACAATTGTTGTTTCGCTTAGGGAAGTTGCGTGGGAAAGCGGATTTTTCTCGATGACTGCAAGTGTCTCCTCGAGCGTTGCCTTGTATATTCTGCACATACTGTTGGAATTTCCCAAACTTTACTCCTGCTACAATTTCTCGCTTGAGTTCCCGACAATCTTCTGTATCATGCCCATGGTCCTTGTGGTACTCATAATACCGATCCGTGGACCTATTTGGATTATGAGCTAATGGCTTTGGGACCGGGAACTCGTCTTTGTGGATTTGGAGTATTTCTCGACGAGGTTTTAACAACGGGGTGAGCAGTCTGTCGAGCTTAGGCAGGGATGGCCTACCCTCTGCTAGAGGTTTATACCTGTCCTTCCCTCCTCGCTCCCCTGCAAGTGAAAAAGACTCTTGGAAATTTTTGAGTGTTTGTTCCCGTTGGATATAGTTTTTCACTGTGACCCACATCCCCTGTGTATTTCGAGGAGGTTTAGTGGTTAACTTCACTCGCAGTCCCCAAGGGTTAGGACCTTGGATGAATCCATTCCGGACGTCTTTGTCATCGAGGTTATCAACCTGGAAAGATTCACAGGTAAAACGGCGATGGAAGTCTGAGACGAGAGGCTCTCATTATGTCCTTGCCTGATCGAGGATAGGTCAATCGACATCTTTGTAACTTGCTTGCTAAGGAAGAATCGGGTAGCTAGCTTTATTGTGAGGTCCTCAAAGCTGTCGATGCTTCCTTCTGGCAGCTGCCCAAATCAACGTTGTGTCTATCCGTCGAGGAATGATGGCAAAGCTTTTGCCATGAAGTGCAGGGATGCATTGCGGATTCTCATGACTTGGACATATTTGTTTAAAAACTGCTGTGGATCGAAATCTCCTGTATAACAGATGAAATCTTTGGGGAAGTCGAAGTCTTGAGGTTTTGGACAGTCTCGAATCCTAGGGATGAAAGGGCTTCTATCCATGATCATCCCTATCATTCTTCGCATCGAGTCTCGAATGGAAGAATCTTGATTGCCTCGATTTTCTTGGTGTCGAGGCGGAGGATCTTCTCCTTGGCGGAGTCTGTCGTGTCTCCGGAGATCATATTGCAGATTCTGAGTGCCATCATAAGCATCACGATAATCATGACGGGACTTTTCCGGAGGGGTTTTGGGTCCGAGTCGAGAGTGGACATTACCTCTTGGAGGTTCCCAATCCCTTTTAGACAGTTCCTCGACACTGGGTGATTTTGGTCGATCCTGTCTGCAGGATTGTTTCTTTTGCTAGTGTTCTTGCGCAAATTTTTGGATTGCTGCATAAACCACTGGATTTGTCCTCTCGAGCGCTTCCCAGAAAGTATCACCAGGGGTGTCGGAGAGTTTGGCCCGGGAAGCTTCGCGATAAGGGATTTCTCTACGAGCTCTTTCTTTTCCTTCATCCGGGACTGGGCGTTTGCCTCTTCTTATCTCGAGAAGATCCAAAGTCCTTCTTGCCTCTTTCTCCTCGACCAAATCATCCAGATCTTGATTTGTAGGATCGGGTAGGCCTAACAGACAACAACGCTTGTATTCTTCGAGGATATATCTCTTTTCTCTTTGGTTGAAGGAATTGTTGTCCTTCAACTTTTTCAGTTCCGTTTCAAGCTCGGCCAGTCGTTGTTTTTTATATGGGTCTGGGGCCTTGCGGTGACTGCTCGGATCTCCCTCACCCTTTTTCCTCTGGTCAGTTGGCTTTACAGGGGTGTTCTCTTTTCTCATCCGTCGGTCATTTCTTTTCCGCTTCTGCCTCCATTGGAAGTGCGCTATGGTTTTGCCGTCTTCTGGGCTTGCTTGTCTTCCAGTTGATGCAACACTGGATTGAGGATTGTTGACTACCACCATCTTATCTTCCAAAAACCCTGATCTTGAAGGGACGGGAATAGACTTAAAGGTTTTAAAAAGCTTGAGAAAGCTTGGTGACACAAACCCTAGTTATCAGGTCCCACTTGGCGTGCCACTTGACGATGCCTGGAATTGTATCCCCGGCTCGGCTGTGGAATTTTGACTATGATTTCCTGTAAAAAAAAAAAAAAAAGCCTCGGGAGTCTCCCAAGTGTAGACACTCCGATACTTAAGTCAGTCAATAGGGTTATCGAAGCAACGTGTGTATATTGATTTGAAATTAAGATCGCGTACCCTAATTGTGATGCATTTGTCCCTATTTATAGCCATATGAATACCCTCAGGGAACCCGAATCCTCCTAGGGTTTAGTTGTGCTGCCGCGCCGTTGGAATCGGTCAGGCCTTCTGCTTAGTAAATGGGCCGTCCAATATCGGGAGTGGATATGGACTCATCAATATCATTCCTTCCGATGGGTCAAACAAGCGCGGTCAAAGTGCCCGGGTCAAGTAAAAAAAAACAATAAAAGTAATTGACTTTTTTTCTTAAATGAAGCAAAAAAACTCTCTCAACAAATATTTTAATTACTAATGACTAATGTCCATGTTCTTGTTTGATCCTGGGTCATAGTTAAAATGACCCAATATTTTTACTACTTAAACCATTTACTTGTCGGTAAAAAAAAACATTTTCCTTCTGATAAAAATGTTAAAAATCCGAATTCACGTTAATGGATCCCTCAAAACTTTTTCTTGATCCTCGATTCTCACTCACACTCACCTAACAATACATTGATTATTTACCGGAACAGTCAAACATTCCTCACCCACGACACAACAACGTTACCCCTTTCCAGCATAGAGGCTAAGCCATTCTGTCGATTGAAGTTATCATCGGCATCTCCATTTACTTTATCTCCCAACAATCAAACAATTGCTTTCTCAAACGTTAAACGGGATCAAGCAGTAACACTGTCAAATACTGCCATGTTCTAATTGTTATTTTTTTAAAAAAAAAGATTAAATCTTGCTGGCTTTTCTCCAAAGCCGTTTAGAAACAAAAAAAAAAAAAAACGCAAAACGAAACAGGGAAGAAAATCTTTGCGAACATATCGGGATTGTAAACCAGTTTTAATTCTCAACATATTTAACTAAGACAATTTTAATTTAGAAAAAATTCAAAAAAAAAAAATAATACTCCCTCTGTCCCAAAATTATTATCCAGTTTGAGATTTCGTTTTTAGTACAATTTGAACTAGAAATAAAAACCCAAATTGGATAATAATTATGGGACGGAAGGAGTAACTCACAATATTTTGTAATGATGATCAGAAACTATACTTCATATTTGAAATTCTAAAGGGAAGAGTGTGTAATGTGATTCATTTTCACCATCTTGGCTCTCACCTCAATCCAAGAAATAATCATCTCAAAAACCTGTTCAACACTTGGATTTGGTTCCCCTATTAATTGATGCCACATCCCAGGACAAATCTTCATCGACTTATCCTTACTGGCAGCTGATTGAAATACGAACTTAGCTGCTTGAGGCTCACAGACTCTATCATCTTCCCCGTGCAAAACCAACAATGGAACCTCCAGTTGGTGGCATCTTCTTTGAATAAAACTACATGCTTTCATGAACTCTCTCAGAGTAATTGCTTGAAGCGGAATCATTGAATTTGTCGGTCGATTCGGTCCCTTTCCAACCAACCTCTTCTTCCATCCCTCTTTGATTGATTCAACAGCAAAAAGTCTTGTGCTGTTTATCTGCCAAGAAGGTGCAAAAGAAGAAGCCACAGGCAAGATTATTTTCTCCGTTGGCCACATTGGCAACATGTTTCGCGAAATTCCGAACATTGGACCGCTTAAAATGAGTCCATTCCATTCATTCTTTTGCCTTAAGCAAATGAAGACAGCAATTGCTCCTCCAAGTGATTCACCATAAAGAAAAGCTGGCAGTCCTGAGTGCTCTTTTCGAACGGAATCGAAGAATTGGATTGAATCGGAGACTAAAGATAGGAGATCTGAGATGAACCCGCGTGAGCCTTCTGAGTAACCATGGCCTGGAAGATCAAGAGCACAAACAAAGTAGCCTGATTTGGCTATGGCGATCGCATTTAGCTCAAACAGCCAGCTGCTTTCTGAGCAATAACCATGGATCATTGCCACAAGTCCTTTGAGTTCTGAAGTTGAATAATCTGCGGGCTGCCATGACTGAGTAAAAATCTTCATGTTTTTCTTGTTGAACATGAAGCTTTGTTTGTGAAGTATTTGATGCTTCTTGTGGAATTCTTCTCTTGTGAGGTCTCCATAAGGGCTGTTTTTGTTTGCTTCATGAATTGGATGGGAAAAAGCCATTATTAATGAAGTTGCAGTGTTTATTGGCACTTTAATTGATATATACACTTAGGAAGTACTAATCTAGTGGATTATTTATAATAGGTGCCCAAAATAATGGACTGAGTTTCTCTTAATTTGCTCGCCTAGGTACAAAGGACATCTTCCGTGCTTCATAGTCTAGATAGTAGCCGTAAAATGGTCAAATTCTTTCTACACGTGTAGTGTTAAAATATTTATGAGTCGAAAGATGGATCAATAGATAAATGTTTATGTAATGATCATATGCATCACCATTGGTCCCATGAAAATGGTTTTTGATTTTTGATCTACAGCCATTCTGAGTCTATTTTTTTTTCAACCTGACATGATTTTTGATTTCCGCATGGGTGCTTTGACCGCACCATTTATGATAAAATTTGGTCAAAGGTGAACCGAAATCATGTTGTAAGTTAACCAATAGCAAATGTGTTTAAATCATCACTTGCTTTGTTATTACCTATATCTTTACATTAAGCTCAAACATCTTTTATCATGTTGATTCTTCCTGGGTGTCGTTACTTGTTCCTTATTCCAACTCTTTTACGTAATAGGAGTTCATTGGTTTAGGGGAGTCGGTCAATCTTTCTCCTTAACCTTTTTTTTTTCCTGTGCGCCAAAGAGTTAGTTGTATTGGATGCTGTCGCTAATTCTTTTTTTTTTCCTGTGCGCCAAAGAGTTAGTTGTATTGGATGCTGTCGCTAATTATTTTTATGAACTGGGATGAAACGTGGTACTTAACTAAAAATACAAAAGTTGGCACACATATCTAATTATTATTTTTCCTGATGCACTATTTTAAGGAATAAGAGAGTAGTCAATGAAATCGGAAATGACGGATATTGTCTCCAAACAAGCTTCACATGATTACCATGTGGCCTCCTCTCTCATCTCATTAATGATGTCGTTGTTGACAAATTCTTCTTTAAGCGGCTAAATGAATTGAATAAGATAAAAGACTTTGTTAGTTCGTTAGGGTCCTTCATCTTGATATTGGCCCAAAAAGTCTAATTTTTTCTCTTTAGATGTTACTCCTCTGTCTCATAATAATTATAATGTTTAAATTTTTTACTTATAACATATGTTATAGTAAAAAAAAATTAAATTGAATATTATTTTTGAAACAGAAAAAGTATTATTTATCATTAATTACTTATGCTACCTGAATACTGAATACAATTTCGGGAAAGCTGATGTGAGTTGTATCAACCGACATGTGTATGTATGATGAATTGCATTATTAATAGAGGATAATGTAGTGATAATGTAATTTTTCTTTCACTTAGATAGATGAGTGACTTGGATGGAGTAATGATTTGTCTGAACATGATATGTATTTACTAATAATTATCGTATGGTTCTTGTATTCGAACATAAATAGCATTAGTTTGTTTTAAGTTCTATGTTTGATATGTGTGTATGTGAATTGTGAAGTAATGGAACTCTATGTTTGAAAAGCATTCTTGAGTTATTGATTTTTGCATCATCGAAAATCAAAAGCATCTACAATTTGGTCAATCACATATTCAGATTATTATCTTGACAGACAGTACTTGAGACATGTACATTCACACAACAGAAATATAATGGAACATTTTATTAATCAGATCACATTGATGTGAACTCCTGCAATCAACTTGATGTAATGAAGCTCAACATAGCTGCAATTGGGATCCTCGCTGAGTATTTCTGTGAACTCCATGTTATAGATCCTTGCGAAACTATAACATCAAGCGGGAATTTCACTAGCTCAAATGTAACTTCATAAGTCAACTTCTGATTCACCTTCGAGAAACTGAGTTTCTGTGGTTTGATTGTGACCTTAATCCCAGGTGGTTGAACAACCTTCACAGTGTAAACTGAATTAGCCTCACCGACATTTGTGACTGTCCTCGTGTACTTCTGAACTTCTGATCCGAATTCAATCGCGAACGATGGATAATTCAGTTGTGCTTCCGGTATGCTGGCTTTGCAAGTTTGCTTGCGTTGTAAAAACCTGCCAAGTTGTCTATCTGTGTAATTCAGACCACACAGATAAGAGATGTAATCTTTCGGGGCGACATCATATATTAGCCCTGGATGGTTTGCTCTGGTTGGATTGACATGGCCTGAGCCGATGGCGAAAATGTCAGCTCGAAGTTGCTTTTCGTTCTCAATTGGATTCTTTCCAAGGTTCACCAGATCAGCTGTAGTCATAATTGCTGATTTAATCGCAGCAGGAGACCAATCGGGATGCGCGCTGTTGATCAATGCAGCAACACCACTGAGGTGAGGGCAGGACATTGATGTGCCAGAGATTGCATTGAAGTTGGATTTTGTGTTTGTTCGGTTTTCAATTGAAAGATCCCAAGCTGTAAGAATGTTTACACCCGGGCCAATGATATCAGGCTTTAGGATTCCCCGGCTCGCATAGTTTGGAAGAAAATGCTGCCACTTGAGGAGCCAGAGGATCTCCAATTATGGTTCCTTTGAATGATATTGCAGCAGTTGGTTTTGTAGTTGATTCCATGTAAGCAATCAATTTAACTCTATCTGCATAACTCGACCAAATGAGTCATTACCTTAAAACTAATACTATAAGCTGGCTTTAATTGGCTTACCCAAGGTTGTTAATTGAGAACGACAATCATTTACTTTTTTCTTTTTTTTCTCTCTCTTTTCTTTTTTTTTGGGCCCGGGTTCCCCACAATTGGGCCCAGCAGTGCTTGAAACCAAAAGTCAATTGGTTTTGGTTTTGGGCTTGACTGAAGGAAAGAAAGAAAACCAAGTCCACCTTGGATTGGTTTTTTTGGGTTTGGCCGTGGCTTATATAAAGCCTTGGCTTCCTTGGTTTTTATGTGTGCTTTTGGATGCATGTTTTCCAACTGAGAGAAAAGGAGAATTAGGGTAGCCGTGCAAGAGTTTTGTGCGAGAGAAAAAGAAAGAAAACTAAGGTTTAGTTTTCGTTTTAACTCTCTTTTGGTTAAATCCTTCTGGTCCTACTTTCTGATAGGTGTGTGTGGAAAAGTATTATTGTAATCCACCTTTGGTGAAGTTCTGTGTATCCACCGGTTGGTGAAGATTGTTTTCTATTATTGTGATAGTGGAGATTTGACTGTTGTTACAGTCCCGTGATTTTTTCCGATTTGGGTTTTCACGTAAATTCGTGTGTCTACTTTACGTTATCAGTTCTTGAATTATTTTACTTGCTTGGTTGTTCTATTTTATTGGTAGTAGGAAAGGAGATTTTCTTGGGGTTCGCTTCCGTAGTGTATTGTGTTTATGCCCTTTCCGCCACAACATTTTTGTAGTGTATATAGGAAGTTAATCACACCCACAACCTTGACTACTTATAACAACACTCCGATGATAGGCGATTCTGAAAAATATCGTGCCTTAGGCAAGATATCATTCCTTCTAGTGGGTCAAACAAGCGCGGTCAAAGCGCTCGGGTCAAGTAAAAAAAAAAAGTAATTGACTTTTTTTTTTAAATGAAGCAAAAAACTCTCACGTTAAATATTTTAATTACTAATGACTAATGTCTATGTTCTTATTTGATCCCATGTCATAGTTAAAATGACCCAATATTTTTACTACTTAGACGAGCTACTTGTGGGTAAAAAAAAAAACATTTTCCTTTTGATAAAAATGTTAAAAATCCGAATTCACGTTAATGGTTCCCTCAAAACTCTTTCTTGATCCTCGACTCCCACTCACACTCACCTAACAATACATTGATTATTTACCGGAACAGTCAAACATTCCTCACCCACGACACAACAATGTTTCTCCTTTCCAGCATAGAGGCTGAGTATTTGTTTGGACGTCAACTTACATTTCATTTTACCACTTAAGTGTTTCAAATTGAAAACTAAATGGGAAATAAAAATATTGTGTGGATGTTGGTTTTGAAAAAAAATATTTTGAACTCTATTTTAAAATATCAAGCACAGTCATCACTAAACAATTAAATACTGTCAATTATAGTCACTGCAAAAAAGAATTTTTCCAAAAACAATCACTCAACAACGGAATCCTGCCAAATTTGTCATTGAACTATTTGTAGTTCTAAAATGGTCATTATACTAACAAAAAGTGTTTCAAGTTGGAATTTAAAATGTAAATCAGAAAGTTGTTTGGATGATGTTTTCTTTTCCATTGGATTTTGTGTTTAAGAGGTAAAATGAGTAAAAATGCAAAATGGAAGGTTGTCCAAACAAGGCCTAAGCCATTCTGTCGATTGAAGTTATCATCGGCATCTCCATTTACTTTATCTCCCAACAATCAAACAATTGCTTTCTCAAACGTTAACGGGATCAAGCAGTAACACAGTCAAATAGACAAAGGGTGAAAGAGTGGATACATCCCAACGTTTACACCAGTGTGCTAATTCATCCCAACGTTTTAAAATTGATCAATTACGTCCCAAGGTTATCAAAATTGAGCATATCCATCCCAGGACCTACAAAACAATAAAAATGATCTGATATAATAGGTAAAAATCTATTGAGTTTAATATTTATTCCCTTTTTTCTCTTTTTTTTTATTTTTTTGTCATTTTTTAGTTCATTAAAAAACAAATAAAATTTCTAAATTAAAAAAAACTCGATGAAACTTACTTAATTAATCAAAATAATTTATGCATCACAAATGACATAATTTATAATTTTAGATAAAGTCAAAATTAATTAATTTTTGAATACAAGATATATATATATACATATGTATATATACATATATATATATATCTGTGTGTGTAAGTATAATCATTCTATTTTTCACTCAAAATAAAGAAATTTTTTTGAAAAGTTTCTTTGAATTTTATCAAAAAATTAAGATGAATCTGATAATAAAATAAATTAGATTCATTACAAATAAATTAAAATTTTAGTTTCTCCATTTATAAATGTTGTTTTTTTTTTCAATAAACTAAAAAAAATTTAAAAAATCCAAATAAACAAAAGTAAAAAATGTTAAATATGGGATCAAATGATTTTACCCAT